GATCAGTCCAAGACACCAAAGATCCATTGGGCATGGAGGGCCCACCTCGTCCACCCCAGGTGCCACTGCCCGGGAACTCCTGCCACTGACAACGAGAAAGAGCTACCGCTGTAACATTAGTGTAACGGCACCCCCAGGCATAAAAAGGGATTAAAAGCCTTTTAGTAGATCTTCCCCTTCCAGAGACACAGGCACAGCTACTGCAGACACCAATCCACTGAACTGGAGAAGCATATGAATGCCGTAAACAGCCGAATAAGAAAAACCATACGAATAGGTTTACACTCCTAGCAGTCGAACTGGAAGAGCATACAATAAATTCCCCCAAGAACGAGACAAGGCTCTGTTTTGAGGATCAAGCAGTGAACAGACAGAGCTGTGGGTTTATTGTGCTTACATACACATTCTTACACATTAGTACCACCCACAGGGTTTTGGAAAACAACCAATAAACACATACAATACACTCAGACACTCCCACACAAATTCCTCCCCTCTGCCTGTGATACAATTACCTTACAAAATGGGTAATGTAATTATCAGAGGCAGAGAAATAAATTTTTTACAGATTATTCATAAATTGGAAGGCGGGGCCTGAAGTTGCGGGAGGTGCTATGTCCCCCTCCTACCTAACTTACCTGCAGGTCCAGACGTTCTTTAGATTCAGTTGCAGCTCTCCTCCTGGCAGTTTTGCCTTCTCCTGACGGCTCACCGGTTTGCTCGCTCCAAACGCTCAGCTGCCTGCCACGATTGGTGTTCCCTCCTAGACACGGGAGTGAGCAGACGGGTATCATTGTACCCGTCTGCAGCTTGGTCATGCCCTGACCCGCTGGGGTCCGCGGCTCCGGTGTCACATGGGGGCACTGCAGACCCCCCACGGTCCCAGGTCATGGAGGTCTGCGGTGCCCCAGCTTACATACACATTCTTACACATTAGAACCACCCACAGGGTTTTGGAAAACAACCAATAAACACATACAATACACTCAGACACTCCCACACAAATTCCTCCCCTCTGCCTGTGATACAATTACCTTACAAAATGGGTAATGTAATTATCAGAGGCAGAGAAATACAATTTTAACAGATTATTCATAAATTGGTCATGCCCTGACCCGCTGGGGTCCGCGGCTCCGGTGTCACATGGGGGCACTGCAGACCCCCCACGATCCCAGGTCATGGAGGTCTGCGGTGCCCCAGCACGGCCACCACCAGCAGGCATGCAGGCTTGTCCCCTTGCGGCATCAGGGGGCAGGCAAAGGAGAGGGGGATTACTGGGGATTATTTTCTCCTACTGTTGTCCCGACAACATGGTCCCCGGCCGCCGCACATACCGCAGACCTCCCACAATCTCCCACAGAGGTCTGCGGTATACCCCGCTGCGGCTCCACGGCACCCAAGGTTACATAAACCGTGAGTACAGACGGGTACTTCGGTACACCGTCTGTACTATAAATTAAATACATGGTCTATGGCTTACCACTTCAACCCGACCATGGGTTAACCCCCCCGGGCACGGAGGGCAACATTACCGGCAACAGCAGCCGACACGCCAAGTCTTCTCGGGGGAGGGGTTTACGGGAACGCTCCCTCCAATGGCCAACGCCGGTCTATTCCGCCGGCTATGAGCCGCACAGCACAAGCTCCGCCTGCCTCATTAACACAGCAGAGGGGCAGGAGCAAGTAAGCAATACCAAGCTCACCACTCTCAGCCATCCCAGGCCTCATTGAGTGAGTGACACTACAGCAGGGGGAGGCAAAAGTTTTCCAACATGCAAGGTCCATACTTATGTAGGGGTTCATTATGTAAGCACTATGGATATATGAGGTTATCGGTGTTAAGCTTCATTACTATATTTCATAATCATGGTTCTACTCTGTTATATACATGGATGTACAACTTAAGTACAACCCAACGCCACCTGGTGGCTTTTGTTACGCAGTACCTCTGTTAAAAGTCACTATATACATACGTGTGAATTACATGTCTATATATATGTACATATGGCTTAAACAACTGTTGGCACGATGGGTGATATGGGTATTTCTAGGGCATGTTCAAGGATATGCTTATGCATATATTTTGTCATTTTGTCAAACAGATCTACCTTCGCGTTCACAGAACTAGTTATAATGTTAAAAGTGTTGCTTTAACCGATACAGGTATTTTGTTTCAAGGACAGGTTCTTAAGTCATATCCTGCCATTGGTACATGCACAATACGTTTCAATCATACATTTCGTTACTCAGATTTAATACGCATGCAGGGCATAAGCTCTTAAATGTATACAGGGTAATATGGTACCGGGCAGACATTCACGATACTACCATAACTTATTTGAACATATGTTTCAGACCCAACACGCCATGCATAGCCATAGAAACATCGAAGGTGACAGCAGATAAGAACCATTGGGCCCATCTAGTCTGTCAGATTTTCTTAAATGCTTTCATTTGCCCCTGGCCTTATCTTGTAGTTGGGAGGGCCTTATGCCAATCCCACGCATGCTCGTACTCCTCTTTGGTGTCAACGTCTCGCACCCAGCGGAAAGGCTATTCCATACATCCACTACCCCGGGAAAGAATTGGCTCATTAGACCCTACGGTATAAGTGATCTACCAGAACAATTCTTACGTCATACAAGGTATTGGTAGGTGACCATAGTATACGCAAAAATACGATCATGGAGGATTTTCATCAGCAGCATCTCAGTACAAACTCATAAGTACCCAATGCCTCCCATTCTGTCATCCATAACCTGGTTTAGGCCTCCCCCTTAGCAGAATCTCAAACTACTGCAGAACATTGTTCATACAAATACATTGCTCCCGGTTCCTCAAACACTGTTTTAGTATCATAGCTAGACGCCTCGCATGTTGCATAGCAAGGGAATCACTCGTCACACCCCCTCCGCAGATCAAAGACTCATCCCTTGTAAGCTCACATCCATCAGATAACCCCCTCGCGCCAACCATAGGTAGAGTCAACCCATCCACTTGGCAAATAGTAGGGACTCACCTGTCACCAGTCTAACAAATTGTTTTGCCACTTTGGCACTAGTTAAAAAAAACAACTGTATACACTCTCAAAATAAACTCATGATTCTTACTTGTATATTTCAGTATGTCCCTAGTTTCAGAAAAGGAGAGGTAATTTCAGGTACAAGTACTCCAACTAGGACTGCAACCCATCTTCAATTACAACGTGGACCGTCCCACGAATCACGGCCAAATTACGCAGGGCAGCATACCCTTTCCAGCTACTGCCCGCAAAACAGAACCATTTAGGCTAATGCAGCCACACTAACAATTCAGACGTAAGGGTAGGCACGAGCAATGCCAACCTGCATACCATGATCACCCCTGTAGTAACATCCAGGGGGCAGATCAACAAACAGACTGGAAGCCCGTAGCGGTCCAGTCACGACACCAGAACCACTTGCAACCGATATTCCAGGCTCTTCCCAGTCCCAACTCTCTAATACGCCCATCATCTTAGGGTTTCAAGTCATTACCCAAACCTCAAGAAGGACATCCTGGAGGGGAAGGACATTAATCTCGTCTCACTTCTCATTGCCTCCCAGGATTTCACAGAGTACCGCTCATACACCTAGGGCGATGTCACAGTGGTCCTTAAGGCCAGAGACACAAGACTGGAAGTTATTCATCAGAATAGTTATAACCTTCAGGGTCTTGTGACACTACTGCATTCCACATGTCTTAGCCTATATTCCTGGCAACTGTGTCCTATATGTCTACCCTCAGGTCATGGGACTCAGCAGGTATATAGTATATTGAGCCATGGCATTTCAGCACCTCTATCATGTCCCCCGTGTAGCCCCTACAACGATCATATGTTCACTGAAAGTTACTCAACGATTTCAGTATGACCATGTTTCAATCATGGCTACGCTGTCATAACCAGTAACTTTCAACTGACCTACAACTTAAAATAAACACCAACCCCACCCCATTAAACTCAACTCAGACTTACGTTACCTCCCAGTACCACAGGAACTACATTGGGCCACTCTCGACCCCTTATGCATAGTCCTCACACGAAGCCATCTATGGGCCTTTGCAACATAATTCAGGTAACCTTAGTGGACTAATACGTCTTATTTGCAACCCCTCATTTGGGCACTAAGTTCACATATCAGCTGAATAGGAATGTATGCGTTAAGTGCAGCTATCTCACAGCTTTCTACCTGTAAATCAACCACGTCTTATAGTATTATACGTCCGCTATATCTTGTACTGTCCACATACTGCCACACAGTAGCTCTCCTCACTACCCTACTTACACGGCGTACTCCTGGCCAAAACGCACAGAAGGTAATAATTCCTGCATAACAGACGTTACCGATCATTGTACTACTTCAGTCTAGCATATTGTAGATTTTGATGCACACACATGCCACATACATCATGACACGTACTGAAGTTATCATATGGGTCATTTAAGTTTCCCAGGGTCGACCTTACTAGCCAGCTGCCATTGGGCATACATAGTCATTCCATGCTGGACTATTCCCACATCATCACCGCGTATTAGACTAGTTCATACACATAATATAATACTGTCCTTCCAGTTTTCCTGGCGATTGGACTGCTCGGGTAACCATGGTACAAAGTTATCCCATTAGCCATGCACGTGCAATGACTATTGTACAGCCTTCCCCAGCATCTAGGCTGTTAAGTAATTCCTGCTTACAGGGCAACCATGACCTTATCATACAACGACCAAGTTTTGTTTCACTACCTCACTCTTTTATATGTTGCATACGACCCACCAAAGGGCTATCCACTACAGCATAATGGCAGCCCCTCAATGGGGCTATTACATACGACATAGGAATTACAATTTGGACATAAGTTTGCAAGTTGTCACAACCTACCACAGCATGCCTCTACACGTGGCCCTCACTAGGCCATCATTCTCATGTTACATACGACCCACCGCGAGCAATCCACCACGACTAAATTTCGGCCCACAGTGGGGCAACTACATACGACCAAGGTCACGTTGGACCACTCAAACCCTCCATATACGGCCTTCCTCGGCATGTACAACTCCAGTCACAGACACTTACGGGCTCTCCGATATTAGTTCCCGCTGGTAAACTAGAAGTGTCCCACATACTTCATACATATTTCAGGTGCTTCTAGCGGAAGGACGCCCAGCAGGAAATCACCTAGGCACAATATATTTAGGCGTCTCTTCCCTATACATATATATGTCTTTAACTTGGATCATCTACATCTGTAGTCACCCCGATGCAAAGGCTTACACAGGGCTTGCTGCAATTTCAGGGGACAGTTGGCTATAGGGTAGGTGGCCGGGAAACGAGCCAGCTCAAAGGGTTCCTAAGAACTCTGCACACTTCAAAGTATATCCCTTCATAGCTGCAGCAGCAATATGGGGTCATTCGTGGGCAAGCAGACCGGTTCAAGGTCTCTGACAAGTTGTCAATTGGCCACGTCATAAACAAGTACGGTATTGTAACCATTATTATCAATTCATCAGATGACTAACGTAGGGAAGCCTGTCATCAAGTTTATATGGTATGTTACCACGTCCCAGGCATTTACATACAACTGCTGACCAGTTATCTAGTCTTCAGTTTCAGGCGTTCAGGAGGTCCCTTACAACTACCTCACCAATAGCCACGATCGCTCCCCAACTCCAAGAATTGCCCATGAAATATAAGAGTTGTTAAGTCACAGCAAGAATTCACACAGTTGGCCCTCAAAGAATACGCACACTGCTATGACAGAGCTTACTGCATATAGCAAAGTTCATGTCAGATCACCACCTGGTGCAAGAATTCTACATTTTGCCATTTTTTTTTATTTATTTTTTTGCC